AGAGAGAGAGAGAGAGAGAGAGAGAGAGAGAGAGAGAGAGAGAGAGAGAGAGAACTCCTACGTTGTAATCCATTAAGCCCGTATCAGACTACAGACTGCACCGGCCGACCCGATTGCCGACTACGACTGCTGACTTTCAATGGACCAATCACAATGAGGCGCTGACTCAGCACCTCACTGTGATTGGTCCATGGAGAGTCGGCAGTCGTAGTCGGCAGTCGGGTCGGCCTGTGCAGTCAGTAGTCTGATACGGGCTTTAGGCGCTGCAAACGTTTTAGAGCGCTTAAAGAAAAATAATTGGTCTATATGGCGCTTTAAAACATTTGTAGCGTCTAATGAATCTTATCCTTGTTAAAAATTATTCCAACGAATTTATTAGAAAATTCACAATTTTATTGGTTAACACCTAGTGAATTTGCTCACTAGGTGTTTACTTTTTGTAATTTTCACCACGTAAAATTATGTAAATATGCAATTGACCCCCAGATATTAGCTGTGTTGCAAAACTTATAGAAAGAAAGTATTTTCATCAATTTACTTTCAAGTGCACAAGTTTGATTTGCATTATACGAAGTTTTGACAAACAACCTATCTCTTTCCAGGTAACACGATTCAACCACGGGTCAGACGGTCCTCTATTAATTCCTTTAAACTCCGTTACGAGTCGCCATCATCTTTACCGGCAGTTCGAGGACGCAGTTTGATTAAACGGCGGGTAAGTAGTTTCGAGTAAAATAAATATTGTAACACTGCATGCATGCATATTGTGACACATGCAACATAAATCTTTCATATGCAATATAAATCTTTCCTACTTGAGAGATTGTTGCAAAGAATGATTGAATAATTTCTCATTAAAAATTTGTCGAGAAATCAGTTTGAATGTTATTAAAATGTTATTAAGAGAATTAAAACCACCTACACGAAGAGGATATCATAGTTTTTTTTCTTTTCTGATATAAATTATTTTTAATTTTTTAGTAATGCAAGAATAGACTGTCATTAAAGTCTATTTTGCTAAGGAACATTCATTTCTGCTAGAAACAGTTAATTTTTTAATAAAGCACACGTTTTATTTCTTAAAATATATAAATGGTGTGCTGAGAAAAAATTCTTCACAGAAATAAATTTAATATCCCGCAAGTAAATTTTCAAGTAATTTTTCTCAAAGCACGTATTAAATGAAAGAATAGTCAATCACTGCAGAATATCAGTCTATTCCTTGGTCACAGAAAATTCTACAGTAATTTTTATATAAGATTCTGTCTGTTTATACCTAATATATGATATGATACACATCGCTGGCAGACTATCTGATGTAATAATTGTCACCTTCGCCGTCGCCGCCGCCGCTGCGATACGTCGGTCGTTGGCGCGTTGCTTCGAACCGGCGGGACTTATAGACAAGTATCGATTACGAACGGAGAGAGAGAAAGAGAGAGATACTAATTTAATATCGGAATCGAACAGCGTTGCGTAGCCGTCGCGGTTCCGGGGTGCTGTACTCCCACGCTCAGTAACATCGAGGAGTGATTGTCGGCCGGACGTTGCGCTCTCTTTCTTCAACCCTCGCCTAGTCAGTGAGAGATTTTTCGGCGGGAAGCCATGTGGTACCACGTATTGATCTCGATCGTCGTGTTGCTGGCGTCCTTGCTCTATCATTATCACTTCAGCGAGCCGGCCAGCGTTATCGATTATCCCGAGACGCACTACGACTACGTAGTCGGTGAGTTCGCTTCCCGGTTTACCGCTTATCGGGTCACCGGCAGCACCCCCCATGATTCCAGGCTCTTCCTCCTTCCTCCTCTCCCTCTTGCTCCCAGCAGTGAACCGAGAGAGAGAAAGAAATATATATATATATATATATATATATATATATATATATATATATATATAGAGAGAGAGAGAGAGAGAGAGAGAGAGAGAGATACGCGACATCGATTTTTAATCAAAGAGGATTTGCGCGCCGCCCCGCAATGACAAATCGCATTGCTGCTAAATTGATAGCCGCTTCGGATATTTCTCGGGATAAATCGACGAAGAATATCGGTTGCGTTCTGTTCTTCCTCGTAAATAAAGTTTCAAATAAAAGAACGAGGATTTTTCAACACACTACCGCGCATGCTTGCGTTAAAAAAAAACAACACAAGCAGAATTTAATTATTTTCAACTCTCGATTTTTATTCCCTACATTTCTTGGAATGAAATTTCTCACGAAAAGTGAAGTGATCACCGAGGCATTCGAATTCGAGTGTCTGTTCACTCATATAAAGCGAATTCTCTATTCTCAAACGTCAAGTGAATATTTTGATTCGAAATTGAAGAGTGAATCTGATGCACTCCACCGTTACAGGTATGTAACATATTTGTTCTAATTGATTAAAATATTCGTTCATAATATGGAGTCAAAATCCGCCCTAAACTTAAGTAAAAGATTCACTTTTGCAATTTTGAATGGTAATATTTTCACTATTGCTTTGAATAAAAGTACTGCCACTTTTCATTCGTTTTGTGTTCGAAATTCCATTAAAAAGAGAAATTAAAAAGACTAAATTCGCACGACTCGAAGCTTGACTCGTGGCGAATGCTATCACGACCGGCGTTTTATAGAAAGTTAATTACGGTAATATTCCACTCGTGGCATTACACGATGAAGAAAAAACCACAGAACTTTAACAACAAGACAGATTATTAACAATGTAATTTGCGTTTCTCATTGTTGCTGGATCAAAGTGGGCGCTGGTACGTCCGGCTGCGTGATCGCGTCACGGCTCTCGGAAATGTCGAACGTAACTGTCCTGCTCGTGGAGGCTGGCGGATACTTCGGCTGGCTGTCGGGTATGCCGCTCTTGGCGCCAATGATGCAAGGCACCGAGGTCGATTGGGCTTACAAGACGGAGCCGCAAGTCTTCTCGTCCCAAGGGCTCAACGACCATGTAATTAAAGTTCTACTTTTGTGCCAGCTCAGCCAGCCGCGAGAGAAAAAAGACGCGAGAACGATTTACGTAGCCCACACCCCGCTCCCGCTTCTAGAATGTAAAACGTGACTCACGACGCGTGAAAATACAGCACGATTTTTGATTACCGATTTCTGCGATCGTTCAACGAGTAATAACCTAACCTTAGGTGTCAACCTAAGACACGACTCGAGAGCGCGTCGTGTTATCGTAAATCGTTCCACGCTTTCATGATAGTGAGACGGGAGAAAGAGAATGCACCAGGAATTTGCGCTGAATACGTTCCACGTGTATTTTCGAAAGACACGTGGCGAGCGACTTCACTGAGCGCGTTTGTTTAGAGACAAAACTGGCCGAGAGGAAAGGGATTGGGCGGAAGCGGGCAACTTAATTACCTCGTTCATTCTTTCGGGAGACCCGAGGACTACAAGCGATGGCCGAAGGGCTGGTCGCACGCCGATCTGCTCCCCTATTTCCAAAAGGTGTCCGATATTATGAACGTGATCCCGATACCGGAAGAGGAGTACTTGGCGAAAGCCTTCGTACTGGCTGAGGAGACCCTGAAGTTGGATAACGTATCCTTGCGGAAAGCGATGTACACTGCGAAGAAAGGCGCCCGATGGAGTACGTACCATGCGTATCTACAGAAGGCCTGGAATCGCAAGAACTTGCATATCCTGATGAACACATTCGTCGCGAAAGTAAGGCATTTTTACAATGTCGTAATGCATAATAGTCGTATTTTCGTATTTTCATTTGTTACTATTGCATCCATATTTTCTTAAAGTAAATTAGTAAAAATGTTTCTGAATATTGAGGAAAAAATATTTGAAATTTTAACTATGGGGTATAAAGTTTATTTTTTTTTGTAAAATAATTTATTTCTTTGAAACAAAGTTTAAGTTCTACAAATAAATTTTCAAATATGGTCGGAAATATTTTTTCAGTATGGTCGCAAAGTATATCAATAATGTATACTTTGAAAAAAATACCTGAAAATTTATTTATAAAATAAAAATTTATTCTACAGAAATAAACTTTATATCCTACAAATAATTTTGAAATATTTTTTTTAATGTGGGAATAATTGCTACTGCACTGGGAGAAAAAGTATATAGAAAATAAAAAAATATTTATTCAGTGAGTACTAATAATACATATTTTCTTATACTGATATACATATTTTCTTATACTGATATACATATTTTTACACTGCAAAAAATATTTTTCAAATATGAAAATAGACATTTTTTAAGCCTTAACTTTGCATGAGAACAATTGTTTATTTTATTTAAATAAAGAAATTTGAATTTGAGTAAATGAGTGTGATTCGTTAGACGCTGCAAATACTTTGAAGCTCCGTACAGACCGTGGTTTTTTTTAGATGCTTCAAAGCATTTGCAGCGGATTTGTTTGACGGATCGCATCCAATATGTTATTAGTACTCATCAAATAAATTTACTTTTTATTTTTTAGATATTTTTTCTTTCATGTTGTATTAATATATATCTCATGTATCCCTTCAACAAGATTTTACCGATTGCAACGCCATATTTGTAATTAAACCGCCAGTTATAAGTATGGCATTTCAGTGAAACCAGTGGCGTAGCCAGGGGTGCTGAGAGGGGTGCTGCAATCTCCCCCGAAATTAATTTTCTGGATTATATTAAGTGTGAGACAAATTTTGTCGAATGACCTTCTTTTTTGCTCGTTAAAAATAAAAAGTACAGCCCCCGAAACTTTTTTCTGGCTACGCTACTGAGTGAAACATACATGGATTGTACTTTAAAGAGTACATTATACAACTTATTCTTATTCCTTCTCTCATATTCTCCATGAAGTATCTCACGAAAAAGAAAAAAAAGAAACATTTTTTTCGCCAATTATCGAGAAACATTTATTGTCGTGATAATTATAATTATCCAACTCTCATATTTCGAGTTTTGCTTACGCCCACGTCTACCTTCGTCTTTCTCTCTGTTTCTCTTTCTCTTTTTGATAAAAACAGGTACTTTTCAAGAATAACAAGGTGAACGGTATTAAAGTAATTTATAAAAATGGCTCCGTCGGGAGAGTCGACGTGAGGAGGGAGGTGATCCTCTGCGCGGGTACCGTCAACACTCCGCAGTTACTTCTTGTTTCCGGCATTGGACCTGTCGGACAGTTGGAGAAACATAAGGTGAAGATTTTGAACGTCACCGTTGCGTACTTCTTTTGAATTCCGGATAAAACGGTGAGTTGGCTTTTCTAGATCCCCGTAGTGCGGAATTTACCAGGAGTGGGTCGCAACCTCTTCGATCATCTGAACGTGCCGGTCTACGTGAACCTGCGGGAGCGCGTCAGTATCACGCTGGTGAAACTGCAAACCGTGCCCGAGGTGTTCAATTATTTCGCCTTCGGAACCGGTAAAACTTGCATGAAACGCGCCAATGACGTCGCGGCGATTTGATCTGCTACGTCCATTGACGCAGTTCGCGCGGCTGACGTTGTAATCTCGCTGTATATTTTTTCTCCGTTGCATGTCAAAGGATGGTTGGCCACTAACGGCGTAATGGGATTAGGGCGTGCTAATAACAGTGGCCTTCTTCTCTTCGGAGTGGCGTCCACGGAGGAAAAATTGCTGAAGGAAATCTCGAATTTTGAGACCGAGGTGAACGGATGTTGACTGATGCCAAGATAGATTTTTCTATTGACAGCAGTTTCTTCTTGTAGTTTTTGTTCTCGATAAAAGTAACTCACTCGTGACGTTATCGATATTTCACTCATGGCGATTACTTTATGTCGCTTGGTCGCGATTACTAATTGAAGAATGAGAATGGAAGAAATGAGAATGTATTTTGGCTCAGAGTATTTAGTTTTTCGCTATCGATTGTAAATTCAGATAATATTTTCTTTTATTTGTCGATCAATAATATTTAACCCTTTGAGTGCGGGTTACTTCAGAGTTAAATGATTGCTGAAGAGGGAATATTTTTAGCTGCCACAAAGTCAATTCGGTGAAAATAATAGCTTGAAAGCATATTGAAAGCAAATATGTGAAAAAAATGCTAAATTTACTAGGATCTTAAAGAAATCTAATGCTTAGGATGAAAACTTACGATAGATTTGCGAATATATAAATTTATAGAATACTTGAAACAAATAATATTTGTTGCAATTTTCGAATGCATTTTTCTGTGTGTAGAATTAATATCTTGGTAATTGCCGTGGTAATTTACAAAATAGTAGAAAAAATATTTCTGTATTTAATGTGCTCTATTCTACACGAGCTCGGATATTTAAACCCGAATTATTCAGAAACACTCTGTACATGCGTCCATGGCACTCAAATGGTTAATGGTAGATAGTAATATTGTGTAGATTCAAGGAGATTAACAAGCGATCGATTAGACATATAGGTCGCTGTTTCCATCGTATAACGATAGCATGCACGAGGGATTCATCTACCTCGTGTCATGTCTACAACCCAAGAGTCGCGGAAACATCACGCTGAGATCGACCAACATTCGCGACCCGCCGAAAGTCAATCCCGCGTACCTGCAGGACCCCCACGACGTCACATGTACCTATCGAGGTACTCGTTCTCGTTAAACAACAAATCGTGGAAAAATGTCCACTCGCGTTCACTGAGAGAAATTATTCGATAAAAAATTAATAAACGGATATTTCTGATCAAAATATCGATGAATTTTTGTGTCCGATCTATCCGATGAGAAATATCAGTTCATAATTTTGTCATCAGTTTATCTGATGAAATGCCATTATGATCGGAAGTATTCGATTAAATTTAATCGGATATCCTGATCGGATATAAAAATCCATTGGTATCTTGATCGCAAATATTCGATTATCCGTTTGTTAATTTCTTATCGGATAATTTCTTTGTGTTTGTGTGTGCGAACGGTGCAATTAATTTTGACGATTTTCCGGTGCAACCATCGAAGCTATAACCTTCGCGTTGGAGACTCTCGACACGGTGCTGTTTCGCGAGTACGGCGCGAAAATTCACGTGCCGGACTTGGAGGAGTGTCGCCATTTTCGACAGGACTACCGAGACATTGATTATTCGGAGTGCGTCATGAGGATCGCGGGTATCACGAGTCACCATGCTTGCGGCACATGCCGAATAGGCGCGAACAACGACGACGACGCGGTCGTGGACGAGGATTTAAGGTGAACGGCGTTGCCGCCGGCGAACATTTCACGGGGTGAGGTCAAACGCAGTAATTGTAATGAAAGTATATTGTTGTTCTCCAGGGTAAAAGGCGTGAGTGGATTAAGGATAATGGACGCCAGCGTAGTGCCGTCTCCAATTTCCGGCACGCCGAATTCAGTTCTCATCGCGATGGCCGAACGCGCGTCGGATGTTATTCTGGGCCGCGCGTTTCATTGAGCCTCGATCTGTTTATTGTATAATACACGATTTGCCAATTAAAGAATAACGACGTTTACATTTCACGAATTATTTACTCTTGATTATCTGTTGAAGAATCCGCCATATTATCGATCATCAACTTGGGGAAAATATTGGGTTGTCCTAGAAAGTCCGTGCGGATTTTCAAGCAACATTAAATGACAAATTTTTTTAGTAGATTTAGCAGAATAAATCCCATTGCGCGAGAAAGCGATCCTGCTACCAACATTGCACTAGACCCAATTTTCGGAGAGTGATTTTTGGGAATTTAAAATTTTCTTTCAAAATTTTAAGAAAGTTACTGAGAAAACAGGAAAATGTTCACCCAGAATATGCTCCAGGAAACATGAAGCCTGTAATACAACTTGCGGTGTCGGAAGGAACGCTTCCACTCGTCATTCCCTTTCAATCGTGATTATTCGGTTGGACATCAATGAAAGGAAAGTTTAAGCTATATTGATGTGTTTTTTCTGTGTTTACAAAGCGCGAGCTTAAGCAAGTGCTCAAGTCGCGACACTCACGATGCAAACTCACACAAGATCATACCTTGATCTCATGCTTTGCGAATACATCAATATTATTGATGAAGAAAAAACTTACCTTTGTGTCTCGCGGACTTTTCCGGAACTTTCCATTCAGTCCCGCGGAGAAGAGCGACACGCATACACGTGTATTTGTGCGTCATCTATTGATCCTCTGTCAATCAAAACATTCGGGAACCTTCAAGGCGGTCGAACTTACCTTTATGCCTCGCGGACATTTCCGGATGTTTTCATTCAGTTCCATGCCGGCGAGAGACACGCATAGTACGGACCACGTGTGTGCGGTGGCTTATCTACTGTTCCTCTCTTGACTGATTAAACTACCTCGACCCTTCTGAGATACTTAATTAGTTTCTCGTCGGCATCGCGTTACTTAACACGTGTCTCTTCGATTGAATCGATTTGATTTCACGTCTACGCGAGTGTCAGTGTTAGTGCTAGTGCCACGACGGAGCAGCCAGGATGTTGGGAGAAGACACGCGACGTCAGGATGCAGGGACACAGGCAGCGATACATTATATATTTTCAAGGTATGTAAAATCTAAGGTGACCAGACATTTCGTTTTTCTCGGGACAGTTCCGATTTTCCACCCTTTGTCCTGGATTTTTTCAAATGCTTTCCGCGGGACGCCGATTTGTCTCTGATTCAATCAAACTGTTCCTATTTGTCCCGGTTTAAAGAATTTGGTAAAGGTGTAGAAAAAGGGCGCCACCTCAGATCAGCCTGATCTTGACATATGTCATAGAGGTCACCCTTCTGAGTGACCTTCTGAAGATTTTAGCCGTCGCTCATTGTTTGTTAAAAAATTATTGATGAAAGAAGTTCGAAAAATGAAGCAAGATATATACTCATGTACTATATCATACAGTTACACATATAGCACATAATCTTAACTGGTCATTTTTTCAAATTTCTTTTATTCATAACTTTTTAACAAACAATGACCTATTAAGCGTCAGTCATTCTTTATTAAAGTGTTTAATTTTTGTATTATTGTGACGATAGGTTGGGTTAGGTTAGTTTTAAGGGAGTGTGCGGGGGACGTAGCATCCCGCTAGTTGTTCGATATCGCACTTATCTTTCGATATTGCTCGTTAACGGGACACAGTATCGATAAATTGTAATATATTTTTCGGACTTCTTTCATCAATAATTTTTTAACAAACAATGAGCGACGGCTAAAATCTTCAGAAGGTCACTCAGAAGGATGACCTCTATGACATATGTCAAGATCAGGCTGATCGGAGGTGGCGCCCTTTTTCTACACCTTTACCAAGAATTTTTTTAATTATTTTAACAAAAATAAAAATTTTTGACAGCTCTGGCAAATATAGCAATTTTGCTTCTGTCTAGTTTTAAATGAAGATAACAAAAATGTTATTTTAGCAATAGTTTCTATTTTTACTCTATGCAGCAGGCCTTCATTGCTGTTAAGCTATTTTTATATATTTTATATGTAGATATATAAGTAATTTTTAGTGATATCTTCTCTGCCCACTCCACACATTTAAGTATCCCGAATTTAGGGCTGGAAAATCTTAGCTAAATAATTTATCTGGTCACCTTAGCTAAATAATTTATTATACACGAAGTATTCATTTTTGACGAACTTACCGGGAATAAAAAAATACCCGAGTCGAAATCTAGGCCGACATTCGTAGTTTATTGTTACTAACAACAAAATAATCATAGCTTAAAGAATTTTCGATTATTAGTCAATTTATATTTATATTTTTTACATTATTTCATATAAGAGACATTGATCCAAATAGCCAATTAATGGCTTATGAGTGCGAAACTATAATTAATTATGTTCTCAAGATTGTAAATTATTTTAGCTATGAATGTTCGCCTTAAAATCTCTAATATATTTCGCAAGTGTTGATATCTCGGTCTAATAATGCTCACCATAAATCGCGATTTCTACCATGTTTACATGCTAACAGCTTTTTTCACTTGTGTTTATCACAAATATATTGTTATTGTATCGAATTTCAGTTCAAATCTCTATTGGAGCATGACATTATTAGACACGTAACTGAATTATCTTTGTCTTTTCAGCTTCACATCAGCTCTTTTAAGAGCTACGAATCTCATCAAAACTTCCACGAAAAAAAAAGAAAAAAAAAGGAAAAATAGGAAGAGATGAGATTAAGACTTGTTATTTTATCCATTTTCTTACAAACGTGTCTTAGTTGAAGGATACAGAATTTCTGTGATTTTTATGACTCAAATTTACTTCTAAGAACTATATATTCCGTTTTCTTCAACTGAGACGCGTTGCTTCGCGTTCACTACGGCTAGATTTCATCTGAATTCAACTTTTTTCTTCATGTCAAACAACTATTTGCAGCATCAAAGGTAAGCCAATAGCCTGTATATCTCGGGATTCGTCATTGGCTCTTCAAGTTCGACGGAATTTGCAGGGCCAATGTGGAATCAACATTTCGACTCGGGGAGGTGAAGGAAGGTGAAGGAAGCGGGGAGAAATCGGTTCTCGCAAATGAAAAGTACCCGTCGTGCTCCAAGTTTTTTGTAATTTATAATTAATGGTAAAGTTCTTCTCGTTTTACAGTAATCGAACAGTTATTAATAGTCTAATTAAATTTCGATTAATTTTTATACAAACAAAAAGGGTGAGTTACACTCAACGGCATAGCCACGAATCCCTGCCACCCCGTCCGCGCTCGGAGTATAAAGAAAAAAAGAAACTTATATATTTTGTTATTTTTACATGCTTCGCCCCCCTCTCCCATTTCACGGGAGGGAAACTTCCATCCCAATGTTTCCGTCCGGAATCGTTTGCGATGGCAGAGTTTCGACATTCTTTCTATTCACTTCCGCGTCTTGCTTGTTTCTTTCGTATGCGCGCTTACGCATATCCGCAACACACACATGCACGCACACATACATACAACATATTCTTCTTTCATCACACACATACTCTTCTTTCATCTCCCTCTTTTCCTTTCTTATGATTTTTATCGCTATTTCTCTCTCTCTCTCTCTCTCTTTCTCTCTCTGTCCAACATGATTTTGCATTTGTTCCTTTTCGCATCGATCGTTCTCGCTTTTCCTGCTCGCTCTCTTCTTCTCGCAACCACTTAAACATTCACACGCACGCACGCGCTTCTCTCTGTTGCCTCTATAAATAAAGTAATTCGTAATAACGCGCAATGTCACTTTACATTTTCAAAAACACAACTATATGCCCGTGCGCGCTCAGCTCATACCACTCGCAAACTCTCTTTCTCTTGCGCGCCCATTCTCACTCTTCCTCTCTCGCTCTCTTACTCTCTTCCACCCCGTGTACAGTAATAATTCGTAACGTAAACTTAATCTCTCAACTTAAAACAAAATTGGTAACCACGTATTCGCGGCGCACGCCGCGAGCCTCGCGCCCGTCCCGGAGGTTACATCCTCGACAGGTTTCCTCCACGCGAGAACGCTTGTAGTTCTCAACAACAACGTGGCACGAGCCAAATGACAAAAGTGGATCCGTAAGATCGAGCGGCTCCCCGACGACACGCTCTCGGCGACGATGTCTCCGTCTCATGCCGGCGTGGCTATCCGGGAGTGCTCGAGAGAGACCGACGCGATTCGCGCTGATCTGGCCTCGGCTCCGCCGCAAGTCGATTTAATAGCGAATTCGATTTGGCTATTTGCGCTCAATGCCAGATTTCGTAGCCGTGTGAAAACCAGCGGCCATCCGAGAGGCCAGCGGGGGCGATCACAGCGGCGAATACGCGACGGGAGCCCCCGAGAAGCGCCCGTTAACGTGAGGCGAGCCTCGTGGCATTTCTCCGGTGCGCGAGACGCGCGCAAACCCTCTCTTCGAGGCGGTAGAAGCTCGGCCGGACGTGCACCGCGTCACCGGATGCATGAAGCGCCATATTTTTTCGTTTTCTCCTTTATTTTTCTCTCTCTTTCTTTCTCTCTCTCTCTCCCTTGTTTTATTTCGCTATAGAGTCCCCTTTAGTCATCGGAGAGTGTGCAGTCGCATTGCGGGACCACGACGCGCGACAGGGCTCGCTTAAGATCTAAACAAGTACTTAATATTAGATATATAACTATCTATGTATGTTGTGTGTGTGTATATATATATATATATATATATATACTTCTTCATATATATATATTTATATTGAAAAATGAGTTTACTCTCTTGTTTATCTATAGGGATAATTATCGATTAATCTGTAATTGCGTGTAACATAGACGCGTCCAGCGCATAGAAACATAAATAAATAAATATAAACGGATGTATTTACATATACTTGGGTAGAGGAGAGGAGGAAGGGGAATATGATATCGTGGGAGGTCTGTGACGGGCATATATTCCCTTCTCTATTTCTCTATCTATCCTTTGCTTTCCTTTCCATCTCTTTTAAATATATATACATGTATATATATATACGTATGTATATATGTAATGTCTATTTACGTATAAATCTCATTCGTGTGCTGTTTTGTCCACTGTGCG